TGTTGCTAGCAGAAAAAGATCATATGTAAATTTCCCTCTGCTTTGAAAACAAACCTTTTGAAAGTGCTTCTTTGTTTACAATTTTTTGATTGCGGCGTGATTGAAGGAAGTTTTGCGCGGACTAAATGTCCTTGAGTGATTTTTCCACCATCGATGGCTGGTTAAAGATATGTGCAAGTCTAGGCTGCCGTTGAATGATATGCTAGTGTTTCATGAGAATCCTTTTAAGATTCGGTGTGGCTGGGTTATAAGTGGTAACAAACGGTAAAATTTCTTTCGCCTTCTTTGTTTTGTTACGAAGAGCTTCTGTTCTGTCTGAGAGCTGAACTTCAGTCAAGATTTTATGAACGAGCGCCGTGGGATAGCCTCTGTTACAGAGTCTTTGCTCAAAATCTCGTTTGTATTTATAAAAATTCTCTTTGAATGAGTTGGTTCTTAAAAGACGTAATGCTTCTCCTTTGATAAAACCCTTTTTAGTATTGAACGGGTGGCAGGATGAGAAGTGTGTATACTGAAAAGTTTCAGTGGGCTTGAAGTGGGTTTGTGAATCGAGAGTTTTGAGAGTTGAAAAGCAAGGTCCTCTGAATACATGTACCTCTGTGTCGAGAAAAACAGCGCGTTCGGATGACATTTCACAAGTAAATTTGATCGTAGGGTGGAACGAGTTAGCGAAGTTAGCAAAATTGGAAACTTCTTCCATTGGAATGTTCCACAAAGAAAATATGTCATCGATAAATCTCTTCCAAACAAAGGGTTTCAGTGGGCTAGTTCTGCAACAAAAGGGATTGCACTCTTAGCATTTCTCGCTCGACGCATGTTGTCTATTGCCTTTGAAAACTAAGATCCAAATAGAAATGTTTTTATAAGTCACCACTCTTGGCAACAGTGACATACATTTTTCAGCTTATTATGGTTTGGCAGCTGATTGGAAACTTTGAGTGAGGGATGGCCAGGCCAAGTTCCTGTCATGCCGCAACTTCTGACTTAACTGGATCTGGTGAAACGTGGTTGTACAGCAGGCAGTACGGTTAAATGGTACATTTTGACACTGTTGTCTCATTATCTCTTTGAGGTTTCAAAAAATTCTCAATAGGTTAACAGTTGAATATGTGAAAGAATTCTGTCACGGTATTTTGAGTTAGTTTGCCCACATACAGAACTACCTTTAAATTGGAGGAAACTTGAAAATAATAGTTTGCCAAGATAGAAAAATACCAAAGAGATAATAATAAACCATGAAGTAACAAGGGTTGTTAAGGATGGAGAGGATAGGACTGTTACAAACGACAAACTCAAAAAATTCGAACTAAACTTTTCAAGATTTGCAAACCATGACGTAGCTCATTTAAGGCTGGTTTCCATCCGATCGCTACGATCGCTGCGAAAAAAATTGTAGCGATCGATCTCTTCGGCGACCGTAGCCATGGTGAACGGAGATAGACCTCAGTTCTACCTCAGCAATCATAGTGATCGCTGCGGCATAATACGGAAACCACGCTCTACAGATATTAGCGATCACTGCGATGAAAAATATACCAGAGATTCTGAGTGCAGTGCGCCGTTGCTTCGTCTAAGTCCTCCAGGGCAGTTTAATTTGCAGCGATATCGTGGTAGTCATAGGAACAGGTAGCCGTAAGGATCGCTCAACCGTTTGTTGGAGCGCAGCAATCGTAGCCATGGTAACGATCATATGGAAATTAGCCTCTATGGAATATATGACTCTTGATATATAATGAATCCTTTCATATTCAGATATTTCTTTTACGCATGCACTGACTTTTGTAAAAATATTCTCCACTCTAGATGCACCGAAAGTTTATTGGTGCTCCAAAACTCCAACTTTTTTGATCGAAGGAAAAAAACCAGACGATTTGGAATGCCATTTGTCGGGATGGCCTCTCGAAGTTTATTGGTACAAGGATGACAAAATAATCACGAATGGAACTGAAGGCATTTATCATTCAGTGGACAAGATGCGGGAAAATGGAGAGGAAACTCTTCGTAGCAGACTTAGTCTTCCTGTAGGACGTGAAGACCTGGAAGGAACCTATAAGTGCTGTGCGAAAAACAGGATTTCTGGCCGGAGGGACTCTAAAACCTTGCAGTATGAATATGTGTGTAAGCAGAAACCCATAACCACTTAGTGGTAACTAAGGGAGTTACTAGTAGTGGAGTGGAGTAGTGGAGCGGAGCGGCGCGGCGCGGCGTGGCGTGGAGTGGAGTGGCGTGGAGTGGCGTGGAGTGGAGTGGCGTGGAGTGGCGTGGAGTGGAGTGGAGTGGAACGGAGTGGGGTGGAGTGGAGTGGAGTGGAGTGGAGTGAAGTAGGGTGGAGTGGACTGGAATGGAGTGTGGTGGAGTGGAGTGGAATGGAGTGACGTGGAGTGGAGTGGAGTGGAGTGGAGCAGGGTAGAATAAAGTAGAATGTATGTTTGAGAGTGTAAACTTGGCGTTAATAGTTAATTTTGTCATAATAATTGTGTAATAATGATCAGGAACTTTTTACTTCACTCAGGTCCACAGCCAAAAAGCCTTACCATTGTCTCTGCTCCGGAGGTTCTTGCAAGGACTTTTTCTACTGTCAATCTGACATGCTTGTCTGATGTACACGACAAATGTCCAAAACAGTTGACTTGGCGCAATGAAACTGCCCTCTTGAAAAATGATACAAAGTACCAAATAGAACAGAAGAAAACGCGCAGCAAATGTAAACTACAATCCATCCTCTATATTTTTAACGTGACAGAAGATGAAGAGGGAAATTACAGCTGCAACTGGACATGCAACAGCCAAGTAGCTGGTATTCACTGGAAAGTGTTCGTTCAATCACAAACGGGTAAGAGCCTGGTTAAAAAAAAGAAATGATGCAACAGAATCGGTGTAGTTTTTCTTTCAAAACCATGCCTAACCCTAGCCCTAAACTCTAAACCCCGAACCCTAATCGTACTTCGCCTAATGAAAGCGCGCACGCTTAATGCTGACAGCATTGCTACTTACCATTTTTAGCGAAAAAAATCAGATGTGGCTCCAAGATCGCATAGATAAGACATTTTCTACAAAATCTAAGGGGAAAGTTGTGAAGTATCGGGCTACTTAAAGGATTCCTCCATTTCGAAACTCTCTTTGAGTGCTATTCTACAGTTTCAGTTAGTTATACTATTCAAATCATATGGCGTCCGGCGTTTTCTTAATTCAACACCAGCGCTTGAAAAGAAGGATGAACACCTTTCAGAAACCTTGTGTGTTTTAGGGAAATTTCCCGGTAAAGGATGAAAAATGACTTTGGAACTCACTTAGCGCGTACGTGGAAACTGCATGTGACTTCGTTATATATTAATTTCAATTCTATTTCAAAGTATTCGAATTTTTATTCGAATTCCAATAAAAAATTTCGATCCCGACCTAAAAATTTTGAGTAGCCTCTTTAGGTGCAGACGTTAACATTGAGCGAAAAAGGACAGCTGACTGTTGGGTGAGTCTTGCTCTTCACGTTTCTTCGTCGGAACCTCGGAATTTACGGAAAAACCAACTTTGTGCATGGATAAGTAGAACTATAAGTTGAACTGACCGCCTAATAGTGGAACTCAATACACTGCAGCAGAACTTTATTACAGTGTGTAGAAAGTCCTCTAGGCTCTGGTCTGTTGCCACTGACAAGTAAAAATACTACAGTGGTCGTCAGTTTTTTTCTAATTTTGGTTCTCTTTCCAGCAACGCAAGTGACTGAAAGTGTGACCACTTCAACACGTCTGTCTTCTAATCTGGGTTCAGGTCAGAGTTAGACAGTGTCACCCCGCGTCTGTTTACATGAAGTAACCTTTGCAGTAATCTAACATTTTTGACAGATTCGTTCTCATTTTCCACTCTCACTTTTACATTGTTTAGAACTTTTTATTCCAAACCTTAATCTTAACTGAGACTAAATGTCCTTATGAGGTTTTCAGAAGTTGAGCCTCATATGACAAAAACAATGAATGACACTCTTTTGAACAAGGATCTTTGTATAATGTACCAGATGTACCGCCCCCCGCAGAGGGAGAGAAAGAATCTACTCATGCCATAAGAAATGTTTTTTCGTGTGTTTTCATGACTGGTTTTTAATCCACAGGACGTCGCAGAGAGTGGCTTCTACCAATCATCATCATATCAGCAGCAAGTGTCACCGTCTTGTTCATGGTTTTCGTGCCATTTTGTGTCAAGAAGAGATGGAAATCATCCTATAACATACCAAACTGTAAGTTCAGAGCTGTAGCTCACCCGGAATGGGAAAGCATTCCATACAATGGTCACGGAAATCATCCTATTACATACCAAACTGTAAGTTCAGAGCTGTAGCTCACCCGGAATGGGAAAGCATTCCATACAATGGTCACGGAAATCATCCTATTACATACCAAACTGTAAGTTCAGAGCTGTAGCTCACCCGGAATGGGAAAGCATTCCATACAATGGTCACGGAAATCATCCTATTACATACCAAACTGTAAGTTCAGAGCTGTAGCTCACCCGGAATGGGAAAGCATTCCATACAATGGTCACGGAAATCATCCTATTACATACCAAACTGTAAGTTCAGAGCTGTAGCTCACCCGGAATGGGAAAGCATTCCATACAATGGTCACGGAAATCATCCTATTACATACCAAACTGTAAGTTCAGAGCTGTAGCTCACCCGGAATGGGAAAGCATTCCATACAATGGTCACGGAAATCATCCTATTACATACCAAACTGTAAGTTCAGAGCTGTAGCTCACCCGGAATGGGAAAGCATTCCATACAATGGTCACGGAAATCATCCTATTACATACCAAACTGTAAGTTCAGAGCTGTAGCTCACCCGGAATGGGAAAGCATTCCATACAATGGTCACGGAAATCATCCTATTACATACCAAACTGTAAGTTCAGAGCTGTAGCTCACCCGGAATGGGAAAGCATTCCATACAATGGTCACGGAAATCATCCTATTACATACCAAACTGTAAGTTCAGAGCTGTAGCTCACCCGGAATGGGAAAGCATTCCATACAATGGTCACGGAAATCATCCTATTACATACCAAACTGTAAGTTCAGAGCTGTAGCTCACCCGGAATGGGAAAGCATTCCATACAATGGTCACGGAAATCATCCTATTACATACCAAACTGTAAGTTCAGAGCTGTAGCTCACCCGGAATGGGAAAGCATTCCATACAATGGTCACGGAAATCATCCTATTACATACCAAACTGTAAGTTCAGAGCTGTAGCTCACCCGGAATGGGAAAGCATTCCATACAATGGTCACGGAAATCATCCTATTACATACCAAACTGTAAGTTCAGAGCTGTAGCTCACCCGGAATGGGAAAGCATTCCATACAATGGTCACGGAAATCATCCTATTACATACCAAACTGTAAGTTCAGAGCTGTAGCTCACCCGGAATGGGAAAGCATTCCATACAATGGTCACGGAAATCATCCTATTACATACCAAACTGTAAGTTCAGAGCTGTAGCTCACCCGGAATGGGAAAGCATTCCATACAATGGTCACGGAAATCATCCTATTACATACCAAACTGTAAGTTCAGAGCTGTAGCTCACCCGGAATGGGAAAGCATTCCATACAATGGTCACGGAAATCATCCTATTACATACCAAACTGTAAGTTCAGAGCTGTAGCTCACCCGGAATGGGAAAGCATTCCATACAATGGTCACGGAAATCATCCTATTACATACCAAACTGTAAGTTCAGAGCTGTAGCTCACCCGGAATGGGAAAGCATTCCATACAATGGTCACGGAAATCATCCTATTACATACCAAACTGTAAGTTCAGAGCTGTAGCTCACCCGGAATGGGAAAGCATTCCATACAATGGTCACGGAAATCATCCTATTACATACCAAACTGTAAGTTCAGAGCTGTAGCTCACCCGGAATGGGAAAGCATTCCATACAATGGTCACGGAAATCATCCTATTACATACCAAACTGTAAGTTCAGAGCTGTAGCTCACCCGGAATGGGAAAGCATTCCATACAATGGTCACGGAAATCATCCTATTACATACCAAACTGTAAGTTCAGAGCTGTAGCTCACCCGGAATGGGAAAGCATTCCATACAATGGTCACGGAAATCATCCTATTACATACCAAACTGTAAGTTCAGAGCTGTAGCTCACCCGGAATGGGAAAGCATTCCATACAATGGTCACGGAAATCATCCTATTACATACCAAACTGTAAGTTCAGAGCTGTAGCTCACCCGGAATGGGAAAGCATTCCATACAATGGTCACGGAAATCATCCTATTACATACCAAACTGTAAGTTCAGAGCTGTAGCTCACCCGGAATGGGAAAGCATTCCATACAATGGTCACGGAAATCATCCTATTACATACCAAACTGTAAGTTCAGAGCTGTAGCTCACCCGGAATGGGAAAGCATTCCATACAATGGTCACGGAAATCATCCTATTACATACCAAACTGTAAGTTCAGAGCTGTAGCTCACCCGGAATGGGAAAGCATTCCATACAATGGTCACGGAAATCATCCTATTACATACCAAACTGTAAGTTCAGAGCTGTAGCTCACCCGGAATGGGAAAGCATTCCATACAATGGTCACGGAAATCATCCTATTACATACCAAACTGTAAGTTCAGAGCTGTAGCTCACCCGGAATGGGAAAGCATTCCATACAATGGTCACGGAAATCATCCTATTACATACCAAACTGTAAGTTCAGAGCTGTAGCTCACCCGGAATGGGAAAGCATTCCATACAATGGTCACGGAAATCATCCTATTACATACCAAACTGTAAGTTCAGAGCTGTAGCTCACCCGGAATGGGAAAGCATTCCATACAATGGTCACGGAAATCATCCTATTACATACCAAACTGTAAGTTCAGAGCTGTAGCTCACCCGGAATGGGAAAGCATTCCATACAATGGTCACGGAAATCATCCTATTACATACCAAACTGTAAGTTCAGAGCTGTAGCTCACCCGGAATGGGAAAGCATTCCATACAATGGTCACGGAAATCATCCTATTACATACCAAACTGTAAGTTCAGAGCTGTAGCTCACCCGGAATGGGAAAGCATTCCATACAATGGTCACGGAAATCATCCTATTACATACCAAACTGTAAGTTCAGAGCTGTAGCTCACCCGGAATGGGAAAGCATTCCATACAATGGTCACGGAAATCATCCTATTACATACCAAACTGTAAGTTCAGAGCTGTAGCTCACCCGGAATGGGAAAGCATTCCATACAATGGTCACGGAAATCATCCTATTACATACCAAACTGTAAGTTCAGAGCTGTAGCTCACCCGGAATGGGAAAGCATTCCATACAATGGTCACGGAAATCATCCTATTACATACCAAACTGTAAGTTCAGAGCTGTAGCTCACCCGGAATGGGAAAGCATTCCATACAATGGTCACGGAAATCATCCTATTACATACCAAACTGTAAGTTCAGAGCTGTAGCTCACCCGGAATGGGAAAGCATTCCATACAATGGTCACGGAAATCATCCTATTACATACCAAACTGTAAGTTCAGAGCTGTAGCTCACCCGGAATGGGAAAGCATTCCATACAATGGTCACGGAAATCATCCTATTACATACCAAACTGTAAGTTCAGAGCTGTAGCTCACCCGGAATGGGAAAGCATTCCATACAATGGTCACGGAAATCATCCTATTACATACCAAACTGTAAGTTCAGAGCTGTAGCTCACCCGGAATGGGAAAGCATTCCATACAATGGTCACGGAAATCATCCTATTACATACCAAACTGTAAGTTCAGAGCTGTAGCTCACCCGGAATGGGAAAGCATTCCATACAATGGTCACGGAAATCATCCTATTACATACCAAACTGTAAGTTCAGAGCTGTAGCTCACCCGGAATGGGAAAGCATTCCATACAATGGTCACGGAAATCATCCTATTACATACCAAACTGTAAGTTCAGAGCTGTAGCTCACCCGGAATGGGAAAGCATTCCATACAATGGTCACGGAAATCATCCTATTACATACCAAACTGTAAGTTCAGAGCTGTAGCTCACCCGGAATGGGAAAGCATTCCATACAATGGTCACGGAAATCATCCTATTACATACCAAACTGTAAGTTCAGAGCTGTAGCTCACCCGGAATGGGAAAGCATTCCATACAATGGTCACGGAAATCATCCTATTACATACCAAACTGTAAGTTCAGAGCTGTAGCTCACCCGGAATGGGAAAGCATTCCATACAATGGTCACGGAAATCATCCTATTACATACCAAACTGTAAGTTCAGAGCTGTAGCTCACCCGGAATGGGAAAGCATTCCATACAATGGTCACGGAAATCATCCTATTACATACCAAACTGTAAGTTCAGAGCTGTAGCTCACCCGGAATGGGAAAGCATTCCATACAATGGTCACGGAAATCATCCTATTACATACCAAACTGTAAGTTCAGAGCTGTAGCTCACCCGGAATGGGAAAGCATTCCATACAATGGTCACGGAAATCATCCTATTACATACCAAACTGTAAGTTCAGAGCTGTAGCTCACCCGGAATGGGAAAGCATTCCATACAATGGTCACGGAAATCATCCTATTACATACCAAACTGTAAGTTCAGAGCTGTAGCTCACCCGGAATGGGAAAGCATTCCATACAATGGTCACGGAAATCATCCTATTACATACCAAACTGTAAGTTCAGAGCTGTAGCTCACCCGGAATGGGAAAGCATTCCATACAATGGTCACGGAAATCATCCTATTACATACCAAACTGTAAGTTCAGAGCTGTAGCTCACCCGGAATGGGAAAGCATTCCATACAATGGTCACGGAAATCATCCTATTACATACCAAACTGTAAGTTCAGAGCTGTAGCTCACCCGGAATGGGAAAGCATTCCATACAATGGTCACGGAAATCATCCTATTACATACCAAACTGTAAGTTCAGAGCTGTAGCTCACCCGGAATGGGAAAGCATTCCATACAATGGTCACGGAAATCATCCTATTACATACCAAACTGTAAGTTCAGAGCTGTAGCTCACCCGGAATGGGAAAGCATTCCATACAATGGTCACGGAAATCATCCTATTACATACCAAACTGTAAGTTCAGAGCTGTAGCTCACCCGGAATGGGAAAGCATTCCATACAATGGTCACGGAAATCATCCTATTACATACCAAACTGTAAGTTCAGAGCTGTAGCTCACCCGGAATGGGAAAGCATTCCATACAATGGTCACGGAAATCATCCTATTACATACCAAACTGTAAGTTCAGAGCTGTAGCTCACCCGGAATGGGAAAGCATTCCATACAATGGTCACGGAAATCATCCTATTACATACCAAACTGTAAGTTCAGAGCTGTAGCTCACCCGGAATGGGAAAGCATTCCATACAATGGTCACGGAAATCATCCTATTACATACCAAACTGTAAGTTCAGAGCTGTAGCTCACCCGGAATGGGAAAGCATTCCATACAATGGTCACGGAAATCATCCTATTACATACCAAACTGTAAGTTCAGAGCTGTAGCTCACCCGGAATGGGAAAGCATTCCATACAATGGTCACGGAAATCATCCTATTACATACCAAACTGTAAGTTCAGAGCTGTAGCTCACCCGGAATGGGAAAGCATTCCATACAATGGTCACGGAAATCATCCTATTACATACCAAACTGTAAGTTCAGAGCTGTAGCTCACCCGGAATGGGAAAGCATTCCATACAATGGTCACGGAAATCATCCTATTACATACCAAACTGTAAGTTCAGAGCTGTAGCTCACCCGGAATGGGAAAGCATTCCATACAATGGTCACGGAAATCATCCTATTACATACCAAACTGTAAGTTCAGAGCTGTAGCTCACCCGGAATGGGAAAGCATTCCATACAATGGTCACGGAAATCATCCTATTACATACCAAACTGTAAGTTCAGAGCTGTAGCTCACCCGGAATGGGAAAGCATTCCATACAATGGTCACGGAAATCATCCTATTACATACCAAACTGTAAGTTCAGAGCTGTAGCTCACCCGGAATGGGAAAGCATTCCATACAATAGTCACGGAAATGCCGGTCGTACCTTACAGCGGAATACAGCGTGAGATTTTGTGGTGCAAATACCCCCGGTTCTTTTCAGGGCAATAAACAGAAGTTCTTTGGACCTGTCACGCAACAGACGATTGCTTGAAAAGTCCAAAAAGCTTTTCCCTCAGAGACCACGATGGCATAAGCGTTTCTAAACGGCGCTTAGTGACTAAGATTCCAAGTGGAGGATGCCCAAGGTACAATAGCTCAACTCCTTTCAGAGTTTGCTTTCTCATTGGAGTGTAGAAGCTAGGGGGGTGGCGGTTATTACGCATTTTGTTAATTCGTTTACACGATGGCTTGACCAGTTTGGCGTTATAATTTAGCGTTCATTGAGTCTCCGCCGCTGACAAGCTGATCCTTTTTTGGCGCACCTTTCATTGATAGATCAGTACAGTAAAGAAGATTTGATAAACCGACTGTTTATCAGCTACAGCTCAAAGGACTTTGGTTGGGTCACTGACAATCTCATGTCAATTCTTGAGAAGCACTCGATTGACTACAGCATCCACAGCCGCGACTTTGAAATTGGAAGACCCATCGTCCAGAACATGGCCGACAGTGTGTACGGCAGCCGTCAAGTGTTGATTGTTTTGTCTGAGAATTACCTCGCCAGCAACTTTTGTCGAGAGGAGCTGCACATGGCTGTGCAGAGGGGATTGGATGAGGGTGATTCGTCACTGATTCTCGTAAAGATCAACAACATGAAGAAAAAGCAATTACCAGCCGCTTTGAGAAAGAAGAAACTGGTCGATTTTGACAAATACAAGACGACACTAGATTGGGAAGAGAGATTAATCAGTGAGATATTAAAGAGCAAAAATGCTAGCGTGTAGAAGATACGCGTGGTAATAATAATGATCTTAATCATAGTCATAATCGTAATCATAATAAATAGACTGAAACAATATTTGTGAAAATGATAGTTCTACTGCACCTCCAAGGTTTTAAAGACACACTGACGAGAAAATAACACAAATTCTATCAAGCCGCTACGTATTTCAAGCAGTGTCTCAACTAAAGATGATTCCATATAGGAATCTAATAGCTTTGGAGCTACTTAAAAGTTTTATTCTGTGCTGTAAATATTTCGGACAGTTAAAATTTCGGACGGTTTTATTTTCGGACTCTATTTCCATTCGAAATTGAAATCGTCCCAAATTCTTTGCACGTAAGGTGTACCGGGCGGTAACATTCTTCTTTCTGCCCCAGTGCGGACTCCTTGACAGCGTTTAGTTTGGATGTTGAGCTAACAGCTGGTATTGTTTGTGTATTTGCCCTTAAGTTTGGTCTGTTTCTGTTGTACCGTTATCATAATCTCTTCGTTAGAGTCTCTGTCTTCCTCGCAGTCTACAAGCAGTCTTATGGATTTCCAAATAATTCCGTAAGGTTTTCTTTAACAGGCTCTTCTTACTTACTTAGAAGCTGTTTGTCTCCAAAGTGAAATTCAAAATTTATGGTACACTGAACAGTTGCCATATGTGTGCCTTAGTCATTCATTGTTCATTGTCACTCGAAAACGTTCGACTTCATGCGCTCAATACTTTTCTGCAGCCGTACGGCCCTGCCAAAAACGCTTGTGGCCCCGAAAAATCGATTCAAGTTAATAACAGAAACAGTTTTCTGGCTGCAAATTTTCTTTTTCTTTTAAATGAGTTATGAAAATGAACATAGAGTGAGTAGTGTCATTGCTATTCAAGTGTAGTCATTGGTGTCCATTGTTATTCTAATCTGGTCATTGGCGTCATTGTTATTCTTACTAGTGTAATCATAATCATTATTACTGTTGTAGTGTAGCCACTAGCGTCAATCTATTCTAGTGTAGTCAATGGCATCATTTCTATTCTTTTATAGGTACTAGAATCATTACTATTCTAGCATTGTAGTCATTATCATTATTGCTATTCTACTGTAATCACTAGCGTCATTGCTATTCTAGTATGGTCATTAGCATTGTTGCAATTCTTAAACAGTCATTAACATCATTACCATTCTAGTATTGGCATCATTGCTATTTTTATGGGCGTTACCTATAGCATCATTGCCATTGTAGTATTATGGTGATTGTCATTATTGCTATTCAAGTATAGTCGCTAGGACCATTGCTATTCTACCATAGTCATTAGCATCGTCGCTGTTCTAGTATTAACATCATTGCAACTTTTTTAGCATCCTTGCTATTCTAGTATAGTCATTGGCATCCTTGCTATTCTAGCATAGTCATTAGCATTTTTTGCCATTTTAGTATAGTCATCGGCATGATTAGATTAGATTAGATTAAGAGCTCAACATTTCTATCGCGTGGCAGTTGACGAGGAAGCAGCCCGAGTCAACTATCACGCATAATAAATAATAAGTGATGGTGAATTAGTGGGTAATAGGAGTTTTTTAAACCAATCACAATCGAGGAAATTGTAATTTTTATGATTATAATAGTAATAATATTAATATTAAAAATTTGTATAGCGCGACTTTCCATAAAATGTCCTAGTGCGCTTTACATCATAAAAATAAAAACTAATCCTAAAAGACGTAAATTTTCATTGGTTACTAAAAATTGCAAAACGTGTTAAAGTAGATAACAATTCAATAAAAGATTAAATAAAAGAGCTAACCTGATCTCAATACAAAGCTGAGCTAGCATAGAAATCTACTAAAACGCAAAGAAGCGGCCGCCTGTTAGTTAACAACCAAACACTGCTAGTGAAAGGGATTTCCTTACTACTGACAAGTTTCTTTGGTGATGTGAAAATTTGGAAAAAAAATTGAAACTGGGACAAATGGTAAAATCATTTCCTGGGAAAAGCGAACCATTCAACCGAAAATTCCGGAAATTCCAGAATGAAAATCAAAAGGTATACCTCGCGACGTTGTCCTTTTTTCGGAAATTATGTGAATTTGCAATTTTCTGTTCAACGCTAGTTCTTTTAGTCGCGATCACCACGATCATCCCAGACAAAGATGACGGCGACGTGTATTTGAAAATGGATTAATATTTTACTCTACACTTGTCTGTCAATAAATGCTAAAACCTGAAATTTGTCGAGATAGCATTTAATTCCAATAAAAATAATGCCTCCGTAGTGTACTTCTTTGTTTTGCATAGGTTGACTAAGAAATGTACAAAGACTTATAACGCGTGCAAAGCCATTGTCACTCATTAAACCTTTTGTTTTGCGACGTTTTCGCTGCCGTTGCGGTTTGTATAAGGTCCCTGCCGGCATGGGCTATAAAAAGTCACCGTGTCGACGTATCAGTGCTCTGTTTGCTTTATATTTGCGATTTAAACCTCGAAGTCATTGAAAAAATCCAAGCGAACAAAACTGTGCGGCTTATCGTTTTCCACAATGGAGAAGTCTGTACCATTCGCTCACAGAAATTTCCGGAAATTCACACCGGAATTTTTGGTCGAATGGAAAGCGCCCCTGAATTCCTGTACGCTTCAAGGATACCTGAAGCTAACATGAATGGACTGTAAATTGCAGTTAACCATGGCCTGTAAATTCACATTGTAATGCTGCTGTCTATTGATGTAGTCCTCGGGGATACCAAGTGACGCGTTTATTTCGATGTGACAACCGTCGATAGCGCCAAATATATTCATCTTCGATCTCATCCATCCGATCCTATATCTCTTGTCTCGTTAGTGGAAATTTAATAAAGTGGTCTTTTAGTCGGAGAAGAGAAAGTTTGAATCCGGCGCAGAGAGTTTTGGCGGTTGACATCCCAAGTCCAAATTTCAGTCCAAAGATTTAGAGGCTATCCCCTGTTGCTAACCTGCAAAACGCAAAGCCAACTCTTGCTTCGACCCTTATAGGTGAGCGCATGATTTCACTTGCGGCCAAGCGCATTTGTGATATGCATGACTGATTTTACCTTTTTTACCCTTCTTTTTTTTAATAAATAGAGGATAATGCGTGGGTGCGCCTACATACAAAATGTATGCAATTTCTCTTCGAGTGTTCAAATTGATATCTCACTCCTTCGCTGCGCTCACTCGTGAGATATAAAGTTGAACACGAGAAAAGAAATTCCATATCTACAAGCAGCCATGTATTATTGTGTTTATTATATAAACATACTGACGACGAGATTTTTGAAGATTTCCCGAAGATTTCTGCACACTTTCCGAACATTTCCAAAGATTTTCCAAAAGTTCTCCGAAGGCCAGACAAACATTTTCGAACATTTTCCGAAAATTTCGGTAGATTACGATAGATTTCCGAAGAACTCCGAAGATTCCGAAGAAGAACCGATGATGTTTCGATCGCAATGCAACACATATAAATACTTTGCCTAGAGGATATTACACGGTGGCTAGAAGATAAGAATTTTATGTTCTCGTGGCAAGAACAATATCTCACGAGTGAGCGCAGCGAACGAGTAAGATATTGTTCTTGCCACGAGAACATAAAATGGATATCTTCGAGGTAACGTGTAATGTTCATACTGAGGACGGCGTTTTTGACGTTTTTCCGAAGATTTCCGACAACTTTCCGAAGATTGCCGAAGATCGCCGAAGACTTTCGAGGAAGACTGGAAGATGTTTCGATCATTAACCAACGAATTTAAGTACAATTTAAGAGACAAACTTGATGTCAGTGAAATCATCGATATCTTCACCAGTGAGGATATCGAAAATACGCCACTCGAGTGGTGTATTTTCCAGTAAAACACTCGTGTTTAATAATTTTTTTCATTTCATGTACAATAAATTACAACACACTACTTAAGCTATACTACTTATAAAGTGATACTTATGCTATTTACAATACAGTACTAAAACGACTTAAAGAAATACAAAACTACCTACAATACGATATGTATAGGAAATAGCACAGTTTCCAGGGGTATTTGGGATAAATACCGCGAGTGATATTTCAAAATTCACCAAAATATCACGAGCCGCCGCGGCGAGTGATATTTGGGGAGTTTTGAAATATCACGAGCCTGTATTTGTCCCAAATACCCCGAAGAAACCGTACTATTTTTTGTTTATACTACAAGGCAAAGAAATTTTGCATTTCATATAACACACATATTTTTATTTAGTCACGCGCAGTTGAATGGCTTTACAATGACATGTGATTAAACATGTGATCGCTTCAACATCACATATGGTCACACAGCACACAACTGTGATGAAACTGTACTCGAATGTCTGTAAATCTCAGTTCTAAAGAGTGAAAGTTTTTAATA